GTAGCTTGGAGGCCATCGCTCGTAGCTTGGAGGCCATCGCTAGTAGGTTGGAGGCCATCGCTAGTAGCTTGGAGGCCATCGCTAGTAGGCTGGAGGCTATCGCTAGTCGGTTGGAGGCCATCGCTAATAGGTCGGAGAGCATTCGACGCGCCTGGACCCATGAGTCAGAGAAATGAGCGTGTTTGTCTGTGTTTGGCACTTGGGTGTCCAGCTGAGTCCTTTACACTCCGAAAGCCTCAAGTTTGCTGTTTGTTCGATAGGTCTGAGAGGCTCTTTCAGAGGCTGTTTCACAGGTCAAGCCTTCTGAGGTTGTTTGCTAGCACCGACATTTTCATCACAACAGCCATGTTTGCATTGGTGATTGAGCTCATTGCAGGTGGAAGGAGGCTTCAGACACCCAACTTCATCTAACAAGTACTCAACAAAGTCCAGTTGTCAAACATCCCCTGTAGTTTCGATCTGGCCATAGGATGGTGGTCGGAGAGCTGGGCAATGGTGGGGGCATGTGGTCAACTTATGCTGAAATGATGCAGTTCTTCCCTGTTCACCTTACTCATGCCGGTGCACAGGTTGCACCCTTTTTCTTGTCTTTCATCTTTCATCCGGTTGCACTGTCCCGTGCTTTTCGAGCACGAGCCGCAGGATTGGAGACTCTGCCGCAACTATTTCGCTGCGAGAGCGTTGAAACAAACGGAAACAGTTGAAGATTGCCCAAGAGTTCAAAAGACTGCAATCAAAAAGAAAAGTGATATGCCGGAAGTCCGCCTTAGGCCCTCTTAGAATTCCTGGTAGGCCCTCTCTGTGAGTTGTGCCACAGTATCCCACGACAAGGAGAAAGCTGCTTTCACTCGGCCTTTGGAACCCATCTCTCTGGCCCTGTCCCAGTCACGAAAGACCTCTGACACGCCCCAGGCGACGCCCTCAGGCGTGGCGGACACCACCCAACCGTCCTCACCGTGGCTCACTGGGCAGCCCACTTGGTCAGAAGCCTCAAGAGAAGCCAACGGCCTACGAACAGGTGCCTTACTAGTAGTAACAAGTGCCACGCTATTAGAAACAAGTGCATCGCTTCTAGTAACAAGTGCCTTACTAGTAGTAACAAGTGCCTCGCTAGTAGTAACAAGAAGCTACCAATAGCAAACATGGTTCCTACCAGCGATGGCCAGGAGCCCCGTTCGTAGCGTGGCCCTTTGCTCCGTTCGTAGCGATGCCCTTTGTTCCTGCCTAGTTGCGTCCCTAGCTCCGTTCGTAGCGATGCCAAGAGCCCCGTTCGTAGCTTCTTACAATGTCTTCCAAAATACAATTTCCGCAAAGACACAAAACGTTCTTCGTCCGTTTTGGTGAGTTCCGCGACAAATTCTCGCCGAGACACAACCACCACTTTTCCAGCCGCCCATCCCTCACACACCGTGAGACCAAAAGGTTCATATCTGCTGGGCACAACCACACAATCAGCGATCTTGAACCTCATGTCATACAAGATGCAACCGCTTATACTCCTTCAGAGAGGAATTGGAACGTTTAACGGCTATTGTTACTAGTCTCACTTGTTGAGTCCAGCAATACGTCTAGAGTCTAACGGCTAGGTTTTAGGCTTGTGGGAACGTCTGCATGAACTTTTCTGGTTCCACACACACACACACACACTTGAGATATTGTGTACGGAACTGAATGCGGTGCCACACGCCAGCCTAAGAGACCCAAATCCTGAAAAACCAGGTGAAGGGGACCAGAGTTCGTGTAGTTAAAGGCCACGAGACGACGAACAGGGCGAGGTGACGGCGGCACGTGCACATCTGCAGAAAGTGAATCGAAGCTCTGAACAAAACCGATTCGTGAGGTTCTTGGCTTAGCCTCTCGCCATACGGAAAGTGGAAAAATTGCAGGTACACAAGAAGGCGTCCCTTCTCGCTTCACCAGTTGTGAGTCCGTCTTCGTTGGTCCAGGGACAACTCACAACTGCCTGGACCCCCTGCGGTAAAACAAATGCAAAAGCATCCCTATGACTCCAAGGGTGACACACACACGCCTCCCCGAGGGGAGGCAAAATTAAGGCTAGGGCGAATGTGCAAATGTGCGCGCAGAAAGGACAAAAGGATGAAGACATGAAAAGGAAGACAGACAGGACAAAAGTGTGTGTGGTTGCAATGAAAGGGAAACCAAGTGCACAGGGACAACCGATGAGCCCACCTCATTGTCGAGACCTGGGCGACCTAACACCTTAGTTGAAAGTAGATGTGCGCGTACACACTAAGGCCCGGACCATTGTACGCGCAAAAGAACGAAAGGAGTGAGATGAACGGACATGAAGCAAGGGAAGACATGAAAAGAAAGAGGAAAAGAAGTGTGTGTGAAGGGGAAAGGTGAAAGGGGAACCAAATGGAGGGGACGGGGACCGATGAAACCAAACCTCATTACAACAACCTAGGAAGACCTGCCTCGTTGAAGTGTGTACGATGTATGTGCACCTAAGTGTCCAACAGACTCCAATGAGCCTTGAACAGACTTTGGTCGCTGCGACCACGTACGGCTTGCCCGAAGGCTGCCACCTTTGACCGCTGCGGTCACGTAAAGGCATGAGCCAGCTTGGAATTCCAAAAATGAGACATAAATCATCAGACGTACGGCATTAGCCATCTACTGTCCGCTGTGGACATCTGCGTTCCCAAAGCCGGGGGAACATGGACGTACACCCGTTCGACGGGTCCACGGGAGGCACTCTGCGGGCTCATGCCGGGTTGGCATGAAGCCAAACACACTTGAGATATTGTGTACGGAACTGAATGCGGTGCCACACGCCAGCCTAAGAGACCCAAATCCTGAAAAACCAGGTGAAGGGGACCAGAGTTGGCCACGAGACGACGAACAGGGCGAGGTGACGGCGGCACGTGCACATCTGCAGAAAGTGAATCGAAGCTCTGAACAAAACCGATTCGTGAGGTTCTTGGCTTAGCCTCTCGCCATACGGAAAGTGGAATATTGAAGGTACACAAGAAGGCGTCCCTTCTCGCTTCACCAGTTGTGAGTCCGTCTTCGTTGGTCCAGGGACAACTCACAACTGCCTGGACCCCCTGCGGTAAAACAAATGCAAAAGCATCCCTATGACTCCAAGGGTGACACACACACACGCATATGATGCATATGTGTTTCTCGCTTTGGGTCCGTGATGAATCAAGTGGCGTTGCAGGCTTCAGATGTTGAGCGCTTGACAGAAGGCTTCAAATTTTACCTTCCCAAGAAGAAGCTTGTGCCCGGTCTGGATAAGAGGCCAACAGAATCTTGAAGCTGCCGAGATTCCATTTCAGAGAGACCATGTGTTTTATGCAAGCTGGCGCCCAGAAGCTGCCGGCCAACCCGCCGCCTTAAAAATAGATATGAAGATTTCGAGTTTGCAGTTGCGTGGACGAATCTTGTAGGTGTCTCAACACCTGTGTCACAAACACCTCCGCACATCTGTGTCTCAATACCTGCATCACACCACATGTATCTATGTAGATGTGATGTGCTACAGCAGGTGTTGACCCTGCATTTATGCACTTGGTGATGCTAACCCTTAACGATCAGATCAATCACCTGCATCTGTGCAACTTCATATGATGATGATGATGATGATGATGATGATGATGATGATGATGATGATGAT